AAACTCGTGTCCAAGGTAGCCGTCCTTGCCTCGCCGATGTAAAATGCATTCCCGGCGCGTCGCGCTGCAAAGTGCACGACGTTTGCATCGGCAAGCAACCTTCCGTCTACGTATTGAATTTCGCGTCGCGGGAGTTCGAAATAAAAACGCGATCGATAGCTCATTGGATCATATTGGACGTCCAAAGTCCTATTACGTCAACCATTATGGCCTCGATCGAGAATGAAAATTAATGGGCCAAGTTTGCTCGGCAAATTTCGCCGCTTCTTGAGGTAATCGAGTAAAGAAGAGACGTTCCCACGCCAGTGCGCCGCGCGCTGTAAAGCAGGTAATAATGCCTGGCTTGTCCAGTCTCATTAATTAATCCTCCACCATGGAGGAGGAAAAAGAAACATCGACGAGGCGAGGCGAACAGACGGAGGGAAAAGAGCGAGAACGTGTGTGAGAGAGAGAGAGAGATGGAACGATCTGCCTGCGCTTCCTCGGGATATCTGGTCGGGCCTGATCCATAAATACACTTTGCCGTGTTAATTCCGTGTGCCGACCAAGGGGCCGAGCAACTACCGGTATTAACCGAGTCCACGACACGCGGTTACCCCACGAAGAGTAGTTGGAAGATGCGCGGTGGCGGCCGGGGGGAACAGCGGTGAGAGGGGGGATAATCTCGAGCTCGGCCGTCCCACGTTGGCTGCAATTTGTCTTCGGGCGTTGGATAAAACGTCAACGGCGGTGTGTTATTTGTAATTTGGATAACGGTACACCGCGCTGCCAGAATCGCGGAAGGCATTTGTCAGCCGCAGCTAGAGTCGCAGCTTCGAGGTGAGACACATATACACATTCGTATACACGCGAAATCTAATATTTCCCCAAAAATGCCGCCGTTGTCGACCCGTCTCTTCCACTTTTTTGCGATTAGCGCGAGTATTAATCAAAGGTTGCCCGCTTTTATCAACCGTGTTGACGCCACTCGATGGAGTCGGCGAGAATCGCTCGACGATTCGATTAGGGATAATAACGTAGCTTTGACAATCTCGCGCGACAAGAGGGACGAGAGTATATTTAAATTTTGATATATTGGACGAACCATCTTGCCATTTCGAGAAAAAGATTGCAACGGAAACGCGTCGCAAATTTTTTCAGCGTGGATAATTTCGGCAATCAATTAATATACGGTAATCATTCATCGATCATTACGTTAATTTTTTTTATATCGGCATACGCGATCTGTTAATTATTCCGTTGCGACGATAATTAAAATTGATTCCTCGATGTGTATCGTGGAGAGAAGTAGTCGTTTGGTACATTTGCATAATGGAAAAGTGTCCGAGCAATAAAATTCCACATTCCATTAAGCTCCGTGTGCGTGAGCGCGGTTAGTAGCGATGGTGATTCGACATTTAGTTATTTTCAATCCGGCAGTGTGTGAGCGCGCGCGTACATATGCGCTTCTCTCGCCGACGTCCCGGAGTAAAAATATTAACGAGAGTGCTCTCGCGGAACGCCTCGTCATCCTCGCAAATCTCCGCGTTGGCAAGACTCGTAGGTCTCGCTTCTCGCGGGCCTTCTTCGAGTCGGGCTCGCTTCGCCCCATCTCCCTTCCTCTCTTCCGGGACGAATAAAACAGGCGCTGATCGCCAAGAGGCTCTCGGCCGATAACGATTAATTAAAGTAACATTCGTGCCGCGCGTATAATAGTAAGCGATGATGGTTGTTCGGCGGACGATTACGTTCTCCGATACGCGTCACGAATTATCATCTCCGAGGAGGAGCGAGATGCGAAACTCGAGAGCGACGAAATTATCCGGTTTTTTTACGCGAATTCGACGTTTTCGCGCGCGTGTAAAGCGACCTCGTCGAGGGAATTGTCGTCATAAACGTAATTTAGCGAATCTATCGGGCCGCTTCGAAAAGGGATACGCGCGGAGGAAGCCGGTACAGCGGCTCTGTGACCGTCGCGGTCGCCGCGGGTTGAGAGCACCGGCGCGGTTAACCGCGGCAACCGCAGCGACCGGTTCGAAGCCGCCTGCCGGCACGGCACGACGCGGCGTCTCGCTCGTCGGCGCTTTTCGCGCTATATCGCGCTCTCCCTCTCGCGCCGCTCGCATTCCTACGTCTCTGTCATTCTCTCTCGCTCGCGTACCGAGCGTCGAGCTCTACGCTCTCTCCTCGCGTTTCCTTCCTTCCAATTCTCTCGCGGCCGTTCGGTGAGCACCGAAGCCGAGCCGGGCCGAGGAGAGCGGCGTCGAGGACACGTAGAGGTATCCACGTTGCGAGCGAACACGCAAACCGCCGGGCTGGCGAGGTGGGGTGAGGCAGGGCGAGGCGAGGCGAGGCGAGACAGCTTCGCGTAAACCGCAACCGACCAAGCGCGACCGACAGCTTCGCCAACACTCCGCGGCACTGCCTTATATTCCTTCTCGCCCCGTGAAAACAAGATAAAGAGCTGACGGTACGAAAGAGCGCGCGATTGTAGAAGCGAGGGGATTTACAGACTCGCCCGGCGGCGCGTACCGCGATGAATCGCGCAAAAAGCGCGTACGGTCCTCGCGCGATAAACGGAACCGCGATGGTGACGTATGCGCGCGTGCGCGCTTTATCGCCTATTTATTATATTTCATTAGGGGAATCTATCCATCCGTCTCCTCTTTCTCTCTCTCTCTATCATACTTTCTCTCGCCCTTTCTCGCCTTTTACGCCAGAGGCAAAAGGGGGATGAAACGTCGCGCATACGCGTACGCGTATTGCCTATCCCGCGTCCCGCGAAGCATGACAATGGGCTTTTCTAATCCTCCTTTGGATTAAGGGTCGAAAGTGGGTTGCGTTGCACGGTCGCGAGAGAGAAAGAGAGAGAGAGGGAGAACTCGAGATAATGGGATCGACGTTTCGTTATGTTACCTTTTCCATTCTCATCCTCGGCCTCTATACTCTAGTCGTCCTCCCGGCCTCCTTTCCCGACTCATCCCACGCAACCCCGACTGCACCCAGCCTTCGGTGTCTCGGTTCGTAGGATCCATCTACAGCGCCCTCAACCTCCTCCTCCTCCTTCCTCTCTCGGGTCCGTGTTTTTCCTCGTGTGGCCCCCTATTTTTCATGTTTCGCTGCGGCTTCGCGTAGCACCTTTATTCAGTATAGGTACGTTCTCGCGAGGCTCGGGGGCGAGCGAGCGAACGATCCGCGCGGACGCAACGACCGCGCGTCATCTGAAAAAGTCACCGCGCCATTGGCCGAGGTCGCGTTTTCATTCGACTCTTTGCCGTCGTCGAGTCGATCGGCTGCGCCAGACGCGCCGCGATTGGCCAAGTGTCGGCTGGCGCGGCGCGGATTGGTCGAGGTGCGCGGCGCGGTCCGCGTGGAGTAAGCGCCTTTACGAGGCGAGCGGACGATAGCGGCAATCAAGTAGGAAACTGCTTGGGACTGTGTGCCGCGCGATATTCACATAGGGGCACCCCCTTAGCACACACAATCGCGCGTACAGGATGGTACTCGCTATACACTCGCGTACACAAACGCATACGCGCCAACGACACGCGTGCACGTACATATCCCGCGCGTATACGGGTGTGCGGGAGCACGTACGGACGTATGTACGTGTATCCTCCCCTCTCGCCCCCTCGCTCTCGCTCTCTCTCTCTCTCTCTCTCTCTCTCTCTCTCGCTCTGTCGCTTTATGCAGCTATGTTGTATAGGGGTTGGGAAAACGGGTGGAGGCGCCATATTTGTGGTAGTGTGGGAAGTGAGGGAAATCACGAGTGGCGAGAGAGGCAGTCGGTCGACAAGCGGGGAAACGAGGCGCGGGGAAAAGCGAGGCGGAAAGGCACGGACGGGGGGAGGGGGGGAGAGGGAGTTTACGCGGACATCCGTGTCAGCCCGGTGACGGCCATTTTGCGAAAAACTTTCGATTTGTTTGCACACGCCGTAGCGAACCCGGAGGAACGACTAATACCGACGCGTATGTCCGGCATACCGCGCTCTCTCTCTCTCTCTCTCTCTCTCTCTCTCTCTCTCTCTCTCGGTCCATCCTCGTTTTATACGTCCGTCGCGTCGTATTCGTCAACGACCGAAAACTTTCGGTATCCGATGGACCGGCGTTTCTCCGCTCGAGTCTCGCAAAAATTTCAACCAAAGTCGGAGCACGACCAAAGTACTCGTATCTGCGCGAATAATGACGCGGCGAGCTGCAAGTTTTTAGTCGCCGTCCATCTCTCTCTCTCTCTCGAAATTGATATGCTAAATTGTTGAGATTCCAAAGACGACCGAGCGCAAATATTATTTGCACGCAATTTTGCTGTTGGACGTTGTCGTCACTGTCGGTATCGAGGCGATAATGCCTCCGGCGTAATGGAAAAAAACGGACGGTAATCAACGTCGATAAACTGCCGATGTGCGAAAGAGAGAGAGAGAGAGAGAGAGAGGGAGAACGTCGAGTCACTTTTTTATGTATACATTCGCGGAACAGACAAATCGGGAGCGCGGCGTTGCGTTGCGTAAAGTCAAAGTGCCGCCGTCGCCGCGAATGTCGGTCAGCGAAACGATGAAATCGGAACGCTAGGCCGCTTAATGACGATATAATTTCCATTTTGCCGGAATTGTCATTCATCGTGGGTGAGCGAGCGACGCGTAAAGACGATCGTAAAGGCGTGCGTAGACGATCAAAAATCATGACGCACGTATCTCCTTGCGAAGCTCGATAAAACGCATCGAGCGCGCGTAACAATAGTAGCGACGAATAAGAGAGAGAGAGAGAGATGGATTCGGTAAGAGGAACACGTAGAGCAACGTTTTAACGAGCCGTGATTTTCGTGCTCGCCTTTTCAAGATCCTTACGTAACGCGACTTAATTGCGAAGGAGCTATCGCGCCGGTTAATACGAGCGTGGAGGAGACGAGAGACATTCGAGGGGGATGCTTGGCGGCTTTAAACGCGGAGTAGCGGGGCCGCGAGCGAGGGGGGAGGACGACGGTGGGAGAGGAGCGGGGAGGTAGAGCGGCGGAGAGGGAGCCGGCGCGACGGGAAGAGCGTGGTGGGGGATCTCGCGATCTCTCCCCCCTATCGCCAGTCGCTTCGTAGCCGTTATCGCGACAGGTTCGTTCGCGTCGTTTTCGCGTGCGTTTCGCGACGCTCGGCCAACTTACGCGTTGCCGCTCGACACTCTCGCCAGGGGGATTGACCTGGCGTCGTAATTTCGTCGAGAGAGGAACGTTTTTAAACGCCCGCGAGCGTCGCTTCTTTTCGAAGCGGCTCGAAACATTTGCGCGCGCGCGCGCGCGCCCCGTCTCGAGTAAACAATCGAGAGTGTGTACGGCGTGCCAGGGCGACGTATCCAGTGTTATTCGCGACGCCATCGAGGGGAGGCTGCGAGTTTCGAGTAAATATAGATCGCGATAAATCGAGGAACGCGCTCGCCGGCGGCGGCGGGGAAGGTGCGCGGTAGAAAATAATCTCGGCCGGTGTTTTTCCGGCGCGAGAGGTACGCCAACGCGCGACGGCGGCCGCGGCGGGCGCAATTTTTCCTGCCTTACCGACCGAAAAAAAAGGGCACGCCGCGGACGCGAAGAGACGCGACGACGGCCGTCGACGGGATCGTTGATCCTTGTGCGCGTCGCGCGGGACTCGCCGAATGAACGCCCCGGTCTCCCGGCTACCCGGGAGAAATCCGTCGACGATCATCCGCGTCGAGACGGCCGCGCACCGATGGGACGGTAGTGACGAATGAATCGGAGACCGCCGATGGATTTTCGGCGAGGAAACGGGGTGCGGATCACGTTTACGAACGCACGTCGCGGGACGACACGTCATCGCCGAGAGGGTCCATCGTAGCGGATCCCCGGGCTATAATTCTAATAGTCTTTCCCGTTGTCGGTTGTTGCTGGTTGTGTTGTTTGTTATTGTTATCGTTGAGAGGAGTGTCGTATACGTACTCGTCGAGAAATAGTGTATCGCGTGACATGACGCGTTTTCGCGCGCTCTAAAAAAGTGGGCGTACATCGCCGCAGTGTATGTGTGTGTGATATATATATAAAAGTTGTTTCCGTGAACTCGCTAAAGCGGGAAATCACGCAGGAAGGATGTATCCTAGCGCCGGAATCAACGCAGCCGCCGTGGCCGCCGCCGCTGCCAGGCATCCGGTGAGTAGTGATTGCTCAATTATCAATAACAATAATAATAACCTGTTTATTTATTCGCCGGTATCAACAATGGCATTCGGCGGATAAACTGCGTAACCGCAGTTGTGTGTGCGTAACCATTAAATAGCTATCGAATTTAATCGACGTAAATTCTCAGATCGAATAAATTATGTTGCAACGCTGTCTCCCTCTCTCTCTCTCTCTCTCGAAATGCTCTCTCCGATAACGTAGCGGGAACGAGGATATTTGAGCGATTCGCGATCTCGAGGACGAATCGTTCGCGTCGATTTATAGCGACTCAAACTCATCGAACATTCTTTCTCTTTCGAGTTTTTTTTTTTTTCGCGACCGCTGCGAAAAAAGCTCCGGTTTATTTTACAGCACGTTGCATATTTAATGCACCGCCGCGTCGCGCCGGCGCGGCAGCGTCGCGCGGGCGCGACGATCTGATTTACGTTGGTAATTTACATCGCTGTTAACCCTGTTTAACCTCGTCCTTGATCGCGCGCCGCGTTTCCGACGCAGGTTACTCCGATCTCGTAAATTGTCGGTTTCCTTTACTTCTCGCGAGAAAAAGAAACAATTACGCTCACGAGGCGAACGCGTACTCGGACGGAGGATTTCTTCCGCGAACGCGAGGTTTTTTCGTCGCGTTTTTTCGGTCTCGCGCTCGATCGCTCTCCCGTTACTCCGATCGGGCGATTTGCGTCTCGCAACACGATCCGTCGCCGGCCGAAACTTCTCGAGTTTCGGTCTGTCGAGGACGCGCTAATACGCGATTCCGATCGGCAGAAACGCTCGGACGTGTATCGGATTTCGCGCGCTAGAGTTTCGCGATGCGTCGTATCGCGAGGAAAATCGTAACGTCGCGTCGCGATGACGTGACGTAGATGCCACGTGCTCGTCGCGGTCGCACGTGTTGCGAAACGCTCGCCGATATCGAGCTACCGATAAGCAAAAGCGTAAGAGTACGTTGAATTTGTATTCGCGTATACGCATAGATACGCACGCGCGCGCGGCTGTTATCTCACTCTCGGTCGCGCTTGGAAATATTCGGCGATACGAACGCGCGGAACAATCGCATTCGCCATCGTCCGACATTAGCCTCGCGACCGTGCGAAAAGCCTTTCGCCACGGTACGTCCGAGTCGTTGATCCGTGAATCGAGCGATTCGCTGTCCGGACTTGGCGTCTGCGTTTAATGGCCCTGGTCGAGATAATGGCGACTTAGTCGTCGTCGTCGTCGCGCACGACTCATCATCCGCCGCGAGACTGTCGGAGGATCGTTGCGTAGTCCCGTCACGTTCGCCGTTTCTCGGTTTTCTTTCTCGCACGACTCTCGCGTTGAACGTTTCGCCGACGATTACACAGGGTATTAACGCCTTTTTTTTCTTTCTTCTTCATCGCAACGCAACTCTCTCGCGCGTTAAAAACCCGTAACGACGCTCGTCGTAGAATGCTACGGACAAACAATTTTTTCGCGACTAGCGCGCGTTAATCGAGTCGAATTACTAACAAAACGTGACTCGTAGAAAGAGACACGGTGCGTATTTATCGGTCGTTGTAAGCGATAATGGCTGTGACGCGCGACAGCAAAAGTCAAACGTCGTTTTATTCCGTGTCGTTAGCCCGAGAACAGGCACCCAATGGTGAACATAATGAGAGCTTCGAAGAAAGGCTCAACCCCTAATAACAATATAATAATAATAGGTTTACGCCGGATGTGGTCAGGTAGTCTGGTAGCACGTGAAAGATGAAAAAGTCCCCTGAGAAGGATCCGTCTACAGTCTGCCGTGCGTATACCGGGAGTGTCTCGTAATATTTACAAAACGCACCGTACATATTGATGACATTTTTCTTCGTATTAAATATATTCTAGTGTATATTTTTCAAATTTTGTTTTAAATTTAAAAAATTTTCTTTTTACTTAAAATTTTATTTCATTGAAAACCATGACACTAATGTCAAATTATGCTTTTATATAATGTGTATAATTTATAAAAATTACGCGTATTTAGTCTTTTATCTCGTGCATTCCATTAAACATTAAAAAATTGTATGTTATTTTTCTTTGGAATTTTTACGGGCATTCTTGCACATGTATATTTAACGGGCGTTTTCCCCCATAATCTTGAAAAAATTTGGAGCTATTTTGAAAATATTTTCGCGCATCTCGTGTAATATTATGGGAGCTACTAAAGAGCAGGTTGGGAACGATGGGGCGACGAGCAGCGATCCGTAACTAGCGGGAAAGGACGGACAGTGCGAAGCGCTTCGCTGACGTTAGTTAGTAGGGTACACGTTGCGAATGTCAACGGGGCGGGTGGACGGCGTTACACGCGTACACGCGCGCATTAGACCGGGCCTCGCCGTCGGGTTTACTGCCTCCCGTAAACTCCACGGCGCACGTTTGCGCAGGACCCCCGATTCGGTAAATATTGATACTTTTAATCGGTCTGTTTGCTCCGACACGCTGTTCAAATGCGTCTGAATACGCGCAGCTGAAAAAATTCGCTTGGGCGCTCGTCAGCGCGTAAACCGGTCGTAGATTCCTTCTCCTCGCGTCTTCCTTATTTTTTTAATTTATTCTCGTACGAGAGACGCGCGACGATATATACCGCTTAATTAGCGATATGTTAATCTTGGATTGTAAGCCGGCGATTTTCTCACGGCACGTACAAGAAGACGCGTAATACAGGAAGCTCTAGCACTGCTCGTCTAACGATCGCGCTACTCGTGTTGACCGGATCCTCGAAAATTCCCAAAGTGCCAAGAATCGCGCGCGTGCGCGCAACTTTATAAATACCGTCTCGTTAAAAATTCAGATTCTTCCGTCGATAAATGCACATTCTTTCTCGCTACCGTGACGGACTTAATTGAATTAGAATCCCCGTGTTACATATCGGCGATATCCGGTGATATATGCAACATTGAAATTCGACTCGGCGAAATTACAGGGCGAGACCGCGCGCGATAAACGCGCGACGCGGGGCGAATATTCGACGGCGAGGACGGGGAGGGGGATCTCGGGACGATCCGGTCCAGCCTGTATCGTCCCGCGTCGGTAATTGCTCGTATTAAAATACGAGATCTAAACTGACGCGGATCGTCGCGCTACGCTTCGGCGCTCGGAGCTCGCGCGCGCGCTCGGAAATATGGAATCACGGTGATATCTTGAGCGTCACGTCGTCCATTATGCCGATGCGGCCAGTAAATTTCACGCATTATACTCCCATTATACGTTTCCTGGCCGAGCCGGATCGCGATCTCGTGCTCTCGCCCGACGTAATTACACGGTGCCGCGCCGCCGAATGGATGGAGAGGAACTCTGCGGCGGGATGTACGTCCTTAGGTGTGCGTGTGTGCGCGCGTGTATACGTGTGCGAGCGGCGCGGTGAGCGGCGCGGTGAGCAGCGACGGTTTTAATTTCCACTTTCCTTACCCTGCGCTTTCTCTTTCCCGCGGCGGTCTTATCGCGCAATAGCACATCTGCCGATGCTAACGCGTAACGCGCGAGGCGTTTACCGATTTTATCGCGTCTGTATTTACCTTTAGATACAATTATACGTTAATGTGCGGTGACCGCGTAGGAAGCGGTTTCGCGTGATACACGCAATCGATGATGGGCCGGGCGTGATGCCTGCCTTTCTCCCCTTCACTCCCCCTTCTCTCCTGCCGCGATCAACATGCTCGATACGACGAGCGATTTATCCCGTGTCTCTTTGCTCAACGACACGCTTTACGACGTAATAAATAATAATCACTGATGCGCGATCCGAAAAAGAAAGGAAATACACACGCGTCACGATGATTAAATATGTCGCCAGAGTGTATAATTATTCGATCGTCGGCTGTTGTTACTAGGAAATTCTAAACGCGATTATTTCACCGGTAAACGCATAAGCGAAACGAGTGAATCGTACGTTTTCAAGAATCTCTCTTGCTTACCTGAAATAATTTGTTACAGTAATTAAACCCGAGTCGAGATTTTTCCCGAAGCAGACCCTAGCTTTTAAGATTTTTCTCGACACTCTCAGAGGGTCAAATTGCTTTACTAAAAGATCGAAGAAGAGCCTAGTTGATAGGCCGACCGTTGTGATTATTTCCAATTTAGGTTCCTTTCGTTATCCGAATACACCCATTGTCTATGTTTCATTTTGACCCAAGTTCAAATTTACTTTGGGTCTTATCTCTGTGCAGAGATATAATTTCACGCCCTAATTATCGCAACGTTCTTCTGCTCGAGATTAACGTACCGTAAAAGATTCTCGTTACAGAAAAAGCCAACGTCACATTTGTTACGGAAACCATGTTTGAAATAGTCCCCGTGCGGTTTTGCGAATACCCTGTATACGCATAAAGCGGTAAATACGGTTTAGTATCTGCAGGTAGTAGGAAGTAAAAAGAAAGTCCGAGAGAACTTCGTCGAGAGGTCCCTTTGGACCTCTCGGATCCATTCGTACGAGAGAATGGCACTAATTGGCGTTAGACTTGACAGTTTGTCGTGTTTTTTCCTTCTCGTTTCTTCCTCTTTTCCGTCTCCCGCTGTTTTCACATTGTGCAGTATATCGATGAATGTCTCGCGTTCAAGATTTCCAAGTGACCACGTATCTTTCTTTTTTTTCCTTTCTCTCTTTCCTTTGTCTTTATCGATGAAAAGATTAGGTCTCATTTGATAAATTGCTGATCAAAAGATTAGATAATAGACTTGAAAGTTCACTAAATCGAGCATCATTGCATTATTAAACGTAATAATAAAATATTCTATTCTCGTGCATGTATATACATTAAGTGTACTTTAAATTGTCCACTGTGTTTGAATAATTTTGAATCCACATTTTTTTTTAACGAAATTATCGACGGAGACAGAGATTATTATCAATTTTATTAGCAATTTTCTAATTTTAAACTATACATATCTCTATAATTTCGTTGGGAAAAAATGGATTTGCAATTAATCAAACATAATAGACACTATACAAAAAATATAATTTGTTTCTC